CACACACACACACACACACACACACACACACACACACACACACACACGTACACATATGATCTGTTCATGGCACAACTTGTTTTTGGTAATTTTAAACAATTTATATTTATTAATCTAAAAAAATCATATTTTGTCTTCCTTGGAAAGGATTATATTGTCTTAAATCCCCCGCCCCACCTCTCCTGTAGGGATTTGGAGGAAATATATTCCTTTAAGAATGTTAGGGTTATAAAGGGCAGCATTCGACTTAGTGATACCAGTTAACCATGTGACGAAAAATTGGGACAAATAAAAGCATGTGGACACCATCGTATGCAAGGCAGTGCTAACATGAAAAGAATGTCGTCAGATCTTGAATCTTTTGTAAAACAGATAAAACAGAATTTAGGCACCAGGATGGCAATTATAGGCATATTTCTTTGCTCAGATCCCGACTTTCCTTTCTCATTCACCTCTCCTCCTCCTCTCCTTCTCTCTCTCTCTCTCATTTTGTTCTAGACAGGGTTTCTCTGTGTAGCCTAGGCCAGCCTAGAAGTGGGATCTGCTTTCCCAGTGCAGGGGTTAAAGGCGAGGCGTGTGGCACCACTGCCCCCCCCCCCCCCCCCCCCCCCCAGCTCATTCATTTTTCTGTGGTTTCTGGTTGACTTTTCTCTGCATGTGCTTAGAAAAATAGACTATCTCGATGTGGCTCTTTCTCATTCTCAGATGACCCAGAGCCATTCAGCACATTGGTAGCTCTGATTGTGACGACTGAGCTGGCTGCCTGGTGGAGTGTGTGGCTGTGTTTTCGTGATGCTGTAGACTTTAACTGTGTTTGGGGCAACTTTGAGAAAATCTAATTCCCCAACAGCGATATGTGGGACCCTGACTTCCTGGAGGCACAGCCAGTGGATGCAGGCGTGGTGCTGGGCGAGCTCTGCTAGGCCAGTGTAGGGTGGCTTCCGGTTACTATAGAGCACACTGTGACAGGCTTCGGGAGAGAGCCTTACTTAGGGATTAAACACCCTGCAAACCTCAAGGTCTCCGCTCTACGAAGCTCTGCCGGATTACACTTGACAGATTTTTCCTGACAGAACATTTCATGTAAAATTAACCGGAAACATTTTTTTTTTTTTTTGAGACAAGAACTTGATGTACATCTAGGCGTCATAAAAACATAGAAGGTCACGTTTCTCTCCTTACTGTCTTATGTGCTGTTTCCTAGCCATCCTCACGGCGGCTTGGATTGTCCTGTGCCAACTGCCACACCACGACCACTACCTTATGGCGCAGGAACGCCGAGGGTGAACCTGTGTGCAATGCTTGCGGACTCTACATGAAACTCCACGGGGTATGCCGTTTCTTCTGCTTATGAATGCGACATCTGGTATCCGGATTGTAGGATTCTACCTGTAAGACAGTCAGCAAACAAAAGCTATACAAGGGAAAAACTGAGTGTATACTGTGCATCCACCGTGAAGAATCCAAGCTGCTTTTCACTGTAGTGTGAGCTCGTCATTTCAGCCATGAAGGAGGAGACAAGTAAAACCCACGACCAACCAATCTGACGCTGACATTTGTAAAACATCTCAATTTTAGAAATGTGAAAATGAGCCAGGCGTGGCAGTTCAAGACAGCCAGGGCTACACAGAGAAACCCTGTATATATAGTTTAAAAAAAAAAAAAAGAAAGAAAAGAGAAAAATATAAAAATGTAAAATGCACACCTCAGAATTGATGACAAAATAATGAGTACTGTAAATCTTAGGTTTTAAAAAAATTGGTATTTGGTAGTCTGTTAAAATTTATACTCCATTAAAGGATTGTCTAAGTTATTATAAATCTCAATCTTTTTCTGGTTTTTGAGACAAGGTCTTATTCTATAGCCTAGGCTGACCTCACTGGCCCAGGGTGCTGCCTTAGCCTTCTGAGTGCTGGGATTTTAGGCATGAGCCACCAGCCTGGCTGATAATGCCTCGGTCTCTCAAAGTAAATAACCTGTGTGTTAGGGAGAAGGTACCTGATCTCTTTTAAATAAGGATATTAAAAGTAAAGCTTCATGCAAGAAATATTTATTATAATTATAATTAATATTTATCTATAATTATTATTTCATATTATAAACATTAAGTTGAAAATATTAACTTGTACATGATAAACAACATTTTGTCCCTAAAAGAATACTTGTTGGAAAAAGGGGAAACCCATGCATTTAGAATCCCTTCATAACATATATACTATTTACGTGTATTAATAAATATCAACATACATATGGGTGAAAAATTTGCCAAAGTCTTTAATTAATCCGTTTAAAGTTGGAGATGTAGCTCAGTAGTGCTTCCTTAGCACATCTGAGTCCTTAGTACTGAGAAAAATGAGTACCTATTTCTTGTGGTACTGGAGATTGAACCCGAGGTCCTGTAAACCAAGCAGACATTCTGCCCGGGTAGTTTCAAATGAGGGCTTTCAGTAATAAGAACCTCTCTTTCCTATGAGTTTCCTTCAATTTAACATACCTAAGACCAATGTGGACGTTTTTTTAGGTGCCTCGACCACTTGCTATGAAAAAAGAAGGAATTCAAACCAGGAAACGAAAACCTAAAAACATAAATAAGTCAAAGTCTTGCTCCGGTAAGTATGACGAAATGCCATTTTATCTGGAAAGTGCCAGCTTTGACAGTAGAGGTAGGCAGACTCACTCGCAGCTCATCTCTTGCAGGCAACAGCAGTAGCTCTGTTTCTATGACTCCAACTTCCTCTTCTTCTAATTCAGATGACTGCGCCAAAAATACGTCTCCTTCCACACAGCCAACTGCCACAGGGGTGAGTGTGAAAACAACCCGGGACTCCTGAGTGGGTTGTTCTGCATTAAATTATCTTAAATTTTTATCTTATCGGCGGTATAATAATCTAAACCAACAGCTTAGTGAATTGGTACCTAAGAATAGTTTTTAGAGGAAATTATATTTGGATGTCAACAAAATGACAAAACCTAAGTACTTTACAAACCTCTTAATTAAGATCCAGCTTTTTTAGTGGTTTCAATTAGCCCAAAGAAAAGAAAGAAGTGTTGAAAAGCTTCAGACTGATCGGATTTACTTTTCTTTCATTCTTTTTTTCATTTTGATTTTCAAGACAGGGTTTTTCCAGTTCTCTGTCCTGAGCCCTGTAGACTAGGCTGGCCTTGAACTCAGAGATATACTTTCCTCTGCCTCCAGAGTGCTGGATTAAAGAGGCCTGCACCACCATCTCCTGGCTACATTCTCTCTTTAAAAGCTAGGCTCACTATGCATTTCTAATGTAGATTAGAAAATTTACTAGGTACCTAGTAAAGTGTCTATCAACTCCAGTTTTATTTTCTCAGATCTTATCACGGCAAAGGTCTTGGGCTGTTTTTCCCACTGTTCTTCCTGGAACCTGTGCCCTCTTGTTGGGAGACCTTGCTGCTTTCCCGTGGTCATTCATTCCATAGGGTCATTTCAGCAACTTGAAAAGTGTCACCTGCCAGTTTCCCTCACGCTGTGATGGGAACTCCGTTTTACCCAAGAGTATTTTCTCACATTAATGCCTCTTCAGTTCACCTGGCCGCTTTCAGCCTTCTCCACAGAAATTCTTTCAGGCAGGACCCTAGACCATTGGGATTGAATTTACCTGAGATATGCCCAGCCCTCAAGCAGGGCTCTACTAGTGTGTACAGCCAAATTCTTCCCTTTCAGCTACGACTAGCCTAGCAATAAAACCCTTCTGTGGTGAGAAGCTGTCATATTCAGTTTGGCCCTGGATGATTGTTTAGGAAACTTCAAAATACTGTAGGTTTCTAAGCTCCACCCCTGATTTTTTGAGTCAACATTTCTGGGTGTGGGGCCTAGAAATTTGTGTTTCCATACAGTAGCCACCTGTGAAGCTGGAGCTGTTTGGGAACTGCAGATGGGCTTTCTGTCTTGGTCTTACCACAGTCACATACCCAAATGAGCTTACTGAAGGCAGTACTCTGTATTTGAAAGGACTTGATGTTTCTTGGTGAACCAAATTGCTTAGATGAAAACGGGTTGAAACAGTTAAGCATTATTCTATACATGTATTAAATTGTCAAAGAATTAAAAACATTGTAGCTGGTATAATAATACATTTCTGTAAATACTTGTTGAATGGACATAGCGAAAGAACAATGCTAAGATGCAAAAGGCTTTTTCATTATTTTATTTTATTTTATTTTTTTTGAGACAGGGTCTTTCCGGCCCAACTGTCATAGAGCTCTAGACCAGGCTTCCTCAAAGACATTCACCTGCCTCTGCCGGTGTTGGATTAAAGGCGTGTACCACGGTGCCCCAGCCTTCCTGGTTCTGGTTGTTGCAAATGTTAGGTTAAAGAGCTTTTAGGAAACGAGACTGGTGGTCTGTTGGTGTGCATGTGTGAAATGTGTCCACGTGTGTGACACACATGTGGATGTTTGTATGGCACACACATGGTCTTACGTGTGCCGTCGCGTGCACGTGGACATCAGAAGACAGCTTTGTGAAGCCCATTTGTTTCTACCTTCCGGTGGATTTTGGTAGAACTCAGACAGCCATGCTCTGAGCAGGCTCCTTTCCCTGCTGGTCCTCCTGCCGGCTGCACTAGTTAAACTAGAGCATCGCGTGCAAGTCCAGCTGCCTGAAGGGACAGATAGATTTCGTTACTTGTTGGGAAATGAAAGCTTAAGAATTATTTAATTTCTCCTACTCCCAGTCCTCAGATTATGTAGGTAAATGAAGCAATGGTTCGGGTTTTGTTTTTTGTTTTTTGTTTTGGTGTGTAAAGGAGCAGCCAGGCGTGGGACCGCTGTGTCTCCTTGTCCCTGGTCAGCCCCAAGATACTGTGGTTCAGGCAGTGTCCAGTGTGTGTGGCCAACACTTAGCTGGAATGTTAGTGCCAGAGGCTTCACGTGTTTGCTGGGCAGTGGTGGCACTGCGGCCGTAGTTGGGTTTGCTCTTGTGGCTTTGTGATGTAAAACTTCAGAACTGCTCTCAATAAACCCAGTGTGTTGGAAAAGGACCCTAATCTGACTGGATGAGGGTCCTAGGAACTGCATGCTGGTTCCAGGCTTGCTCGTTAGTCGAGTGGGCCCTTCAGAGAGAGACCAGCAAACTGCAAAAGAGCAGGAGGCAGAACGGTAAGGGCTTCAAGTGGGGAGAAGCCCTTCCCAAGGCTGCAGACCTGCAAGCTCCTGCTCTGAAGCCCCACGGCACCTGGAGAGCCTCTGGCAGCAGCTGGTGTGGCCTGGGTGGCAGCATCTCCCATCTGCCCTGGGTGGGGTCGATCCTTCACTTTACTCCTGGCCACGCCCCTACAGACATTACCCGTCTGCCACTGAGGCGAGCCTGGGAAGACCATAGATATCCCCATTAGCTGTGACGAGGCTGTGAGGAACCACTTGGAGGGTCATTGCAGGAGGCTGGGGTGCCAAGGAGGGCCCCTGCGTGCCTCTTGCTCCCTTATCACTTTCCAGTGCCTTCTCTGGCTGCTCTGAATTCTGTGGTTCTGTACTGCGGTCAGGGTGGCTGTGGAGAGCATTCCGGAGGGGTCACCTGGGAGCGGCTGCTTGTTTTTTGTTTTTGTGTTTGAGACAAGTGTTTCTTTTTAGCCTTGGCTGTCCCGGACTCCCTTTGTAGAACAGGCTTGCCTCGAACTCACAGAGACCCACCCGCCCCTGCCTCCCGAGTGCTGGGATCATGGGTGTGCACCACCATGCCCGGAAGAAGCACTTTTGAAAGGTGACCACGTGCCAGAAGCGTGTGCCCCCCACCTCGTGAAGAAAAAGAGTGTGTGATATGCCGCCGGCTCACAATAGATTCTATGAACTACTGTAGTGGAAGAAAGCATGAGATTCCCATGTGAGGTTGAATCTGTTCATGCAGCGTCTTTTCTGGCTCAGGACACAAATCTCATCATCATCATTCTTATTCTTATAAGAAATTCACAGTGTGGGGCAGGGGTGTGTAATGAGACCACTGGACCACAAAATGAAAGGCCGTGCCAGGCATAGATGACGAGGCTGGAGCAGTCTGTCTCTCTACTGAGAGGTGGGCAGGGCAACAGGTTCTGCATTACAGGGCACTCAAAAGCACCGTCCCCCAGGGCTACGACAGCCCCCGAGTTCTCTCAGACCACCTGGTGGCATCGCTAGCTGGCTTCTTGCCTGTGGGCCATTTGCGTGGGCACTGGGTTGTTGGGTTCTCTTGGCCAAAAGGACCCTGGGAGCTGAGATCCTGCCGTAAGCCTGAGCCAGGCTCCAGGGCCCTTCCCAGCAGCAATGGAGTGTGGGAAGGAGTCTTCTGTCTCACTCTTCTCTGGGATTAATTTATTGCTTTGTGCTTTTACATTGTATATGTGTGTGTGTGAGCATGTGCTGGTCGAAGTGGGTTCCAGGGATCACGTCAGGTAGCCAGGCCTGTGTAACAGTTTTCCAGCTGGGGAGCGAAAGCCCAACCTTTAAATTTCCCTTTTATTTTGCAGTACTAGAGAGAGGGTCTAGGTCCTTGTGGGTGCTGGGCAAGTGTTATACACTGAGTGATGTTCCCAACCCAACCCTTTAAGAATGTGCCTAGCAATGCAGCTTCATTGTTTATTTGTTTATAAGTTGAGGCAGGGCCTTATTATGTAGCACTGGCTGTTCTGGAACTTCCTGTGTAGACCAGGCTGGCTTTGAACTTACAAAGATCCACCTGCTTCTACCTCCCAAGTGCTGGGATTAAGGGTGTGGGCCACCATGACTGGTCTTTAAAATGTAGTTAAGTTTTGACATCTTACTAAGTTGCAAGGCGGGCCTTGAATTCTCTATATATCCCTGGCGATCCTCCTGAATGCCATCATTCCTGGCTAGATCAAATTGTTCTTCCATCTAAGCATAGTGCCTGGAAAGCCATTCCCGCCCTTCTGCAAAACTTTATTTTATTGATTTTTTTTTTTTTTTTTTAAGTCTTATGTACCGCTCTGATTTGAGGTTTAATGAGCCCTTTGTCTTAGAGAATAAGAGCCTCTGGTAGTTATCCAGTAATAACTCGGTCACTATGACTCAGTTTCTCCTTGTGGAAATCTGTGCTGGTGTTGATGCTCATGGACTGAAGGGGGAAGGGAGCCAGTATTTTCCCACTTCCTGCCACGCAGCCTGGTATTAATTTTAAAAATGCATTTTGTTACTTTGGTACATATAGTACCAAATATGCTAGATTTAACTTTTGAAAGATGATTAATTTTCATGTTAATAGTGTTTTGATATGGCTAAATTTTTTTCTTATTTGTAATATTATTGAAAAAAAAACATTTAATTGACTTAAATTGACACCAGAATTTTGCATTTATTCTCCATGGAATATAAAAAAAAAAAAAACCTAAGATCTGCTGGACATGGTGGTACTGGACTTTAACCTCAGCGTTCAGGCTGGTCTCACCCAACATAGAGAGTTCCGGGTCTGCTGGGGCTGCACGGTCTGGGAGAGGGGGCAGGGAATAGTGGTGCATGCCTTTAATCTCAAGACAGAGGCAGGTGGAGCTCTGTGATGGAGGCCAGCCTGATCTAGAATGAGTTTTAGGATAGCCAGGGCCACACAAAGAAACCCTGTCTCAAAAAAAAAAAAAAAAAAAAAAAAAAAAAATCAAAACAACTAACCGAACAAACAACAGAAGATCCACAATTCTTTATCTTTATTCTTTTTAGTTCCAGTTGTTGACCAAATTGTGGACTTTTTGTTGTTCATTGTTATTTGGGGGTAAAATGTTAACATGTTCATATTCAGAGATTGTTAGAGACTTGAAATGCTAACGCTAGAAAATACTGTATGTGT